GTGTGTTATAGGTAATGCCTTTACCCATGCATGTCAAGAAAATCTGGAAATGTGATGGAGGGGGGGGGGAGATATTGGGTTATGCATGGAGGGAAGGTCCGGATTTATTTTTAATCAGTGATTAGTTAGACTAAAAATTGTCAGACAGGACAATTTTTTTTATAGGTACATGTACTGTGCTCACAGATCTACTTATTTTGGGTTGTTGATTTTTTTTGATTGGAGAATAAATATTGGAGGTGTTTGCATTTTTTGAGGCTTTAAGTTTATGTCTACTTATTTTTGGGTGGTTGATCTTGTACAATTAGGGATTATATCTGGCAAAAAATATCTCCGTTGTGGTTAAATTTGTTGCCCCATTGGAAACCTCTTTTCTTAATCTTAACTTGTGAAGTCTTTGCTTAATTTTCAAATGTAAATCCACTTTCATTTTTCAGCATAAAAAAAGTTGTATGATTTAAATTTCTTGTATTATGGGGTTTTTTTTAGACAGTTTTTAAAGTGATGCCAAAAAAATGTGAATAATAATATGGAATTCATCATTATATGTAGGATGAGAATTTAGTTACTTACGGCTTTAACCATTTTTCACCATATTTCAAGTTGTAGAAATTTGTCTAACTGTATCTAGGGCAGCCCTTATGAGTTTACATGATTAACAGTGAGACAAATCAGATAATTGAGTGGTGGTATCCCACATTTGCTTAGTCGTCAACATTTAAAAAACAAAAAAATTTGATGACTCTAAAAGCTAAATCAATTGACTAATTTTAGTCATATTCGTGGGCAGAAGGAAGGGGGGGGGGTTGTTGGAAAGACAGAAATCAATAAGCTGACTGAGAACCCCTCGCCTGGAGTATCTCTTGAAATATCTGCCTAATACCCACCCAACTGGAATCACATGACGGCGTTGCCATGGAAACGGCTACGGTCATGAATTTATACGATTTGGCAGCGCGGAGGATAGGCAACCGGGTATAATGCTAAAAGGTTCCTCCGCATTGCGAAGCCGCTCCACGCGTCATGACTAAGCAGTACGGACCGAGAATTATCTTTCAGCCGAGTTTAAATTCACCATAAATTCTCATGTGTGGTATGATTTATGTTTTTTTAAATTGACTTTTGATCGGTAGCCGTTTGGTCACTTCAGAGGCAGGTGTTTACTTTTCTTTCACAGTTTACTTTTATTTTTGATACATCAGTGTGTTGCCTGCAAATTTATATTAGCCGACTTGTATTCTTTTTCAAAAATACAAAACAAAACAAAAATTAAAGATGAATTTTAACAGCATAACTGGTAGAATTTTGTGTTTGTATGTGACTCCAGATTATACAATGCAGAACTTGAAATATGAGAGTTTTCCAGAGAGTGAGAAAAATAAAATGCCTGTACATCACAGGCCTACACTTAACCTAATTCTTGCGCGCTTATTGCATCTGAGCTGAAATCGCTACCTAAATGCTCTCATTGATGTCTCGCTGTGATTGCCCCGAATATCATTTTAATGATCTTGCCGGAAGGCGTTTTTTTTCGGTCGTTCTTTTACTTGACAGTCCTAAAGGTTTCTGAGCTGGTATCATTTCTAGAATCTACATGATACATCCAATCGATTGAAATGCATGTGGGCTGGGCCAAGGGAAGTCGACATCTAGACGCAAGATCAGCCAATTCTCCGTTCAGTATTTCTTAAAAGCATTTTTCTTGATTTAAGATGTGTGGCTAGCAATCTGCCATAATCCTGATTTGGACTTTGAAAGGCAAATAGGATTATCTGCATTTATCGCAAACGTAACCAAATTATTATTAAAAGGTTTTGAATACTTGGATTATAGAACATACTGGGACTAAACACCCCGTGAAATTAGTCTGTCTGGCTTGCTGTCATTTAGAAGAAATCAAGATTTGTAGGTGATTTCCAACGATCAGTCAATTGACTGATTTTTGGTAAAGAGAGACATTGACGTAATTGTCTTTTGTGATCAAAAGGTTGTGCATTGTTTTTCAATATTTTCTCAAAAGTGTAACGTCCACTGAGCTGAAACTTCACCAGGTTTAGGTGTTCAAACACTTTTCTTTGGATTTTGAATGATTTTATTATTGGAAATGAACAAAATGCATGAAAAGCAAATGATCCAATATCTTGTACAAGTGGAAATGTTTTTTCGTATCTTACACCAAATATAAGGCCCTTGAAACCCCCCCCCCCCTAAGTTTTTTTTAAGAACTCAATGTTGGCTGGAGGCTAATTTTTATAACAACAGGGTAGCAATGCTCATTATCCCTGACAGCCTGAATCCTTTAATTTTAATATAATTTTTTTACAGACCCTAGGGAGTTAGGGTTCTTATTTCTATCTTTTATTTGTCAAAACAATTGACATCTCCCTCCAATTGAGACATGTCACAAAACAGGCTAACATGCAGCTCTCAACAACAACAAAAAGTGGGCATCCCAACTGATTCTGAAACACATTTCATTAAAACATGCAATTATTAAATAAGGAGCTGGAACCGAGATTGCTGGCATTGTAGCATCGTTGCCTTCAATACAGCCAGCAAGTACAATAAACAAGCCGTCGCTAATAAAGACACAATAATTTGTATTGAATGATATGACATTTTGCCTGAGCCAGTGGGGCTAAAGTCCCTATCCAGCATTTGTTGCTTTTATTTTTTCTGTCAACCCCCCCCCCCCCCCCCCCCCGGAGTTCAATACGAGTGAACGCAGCGCTCTGTATTTATAAATGAGTCTGACCAAGCAACGCCACAACCAAATGATAATTATATGGTGATTTATTCGGCTGAATGTAATTTAAAGATTGCGACCCGATCTGGTAGGGGAATGAGTCTGCAGTCGACAGTGTGGCTTTTACGTTTCCATACCTGCTTGACTATTACTGAGACAATGCAATTAGATTCAAAGATGTCAGTGAAATGTGCATCTTCCTTAGTAATGTACACTTCTCATTCCCTATTCCCCCCCCCCCCCCCCAATAAAAAGTATACTGTAAGGCTAATTTTCATCACGTCTTTGTCTGACTTTAAGCTTTTATTTAGCATGGTTGAAAAACAGACTTTTCATTACATAGGGTTCTGGCCTAGATTGAACAGCATCATAAGCGGACATGTATTTTTATAATATTCCTTTATCCGTGTTTAATGATATATTTAGAGTGCAGAGTGCTTTTGCTAAATGAATACTCATTCAAAAGTCAGTTAAGAACCAACTTGTTCACATAGTCTAGAGCGATTTGAAATGCTCATAGAAAGAGCTATCAACACATCTTTATTAGTATTATTACTGTTGTTTTATTATTAAGTAAGTTATTTAGACTTTTTCTTTGACACACATTCAGTAATAAGTGATGTGACTTGGCTATTTGTACAACAGGTCAAACCAGAAAAGCCCATTGTTTAGTATAAAATATATACGGTCTCTGAATAACCCTTCATACCATTGACCCTTTATGTTGCTTGATTCTATTTGTGTACTGGAGCATTTAAAAAGAAAAATATCTTGAAGCCTGCGAGTCACAAAGGAAAAGGGAACTTTATTTTGTGCAATTATCTGAATTTCACTGCTTTCAATTTGTAATGGTTAACGTACTTGTCTTTGTAATGTATGCAAGTTTCTGGCAATTTAATGCAGCATTTCTTCACAGCTACCATGAATCAAACAGATGTATTCAAATCCTTTAATCCTTGCCCAGAAATTCCCGTGCCAAAATGCACGAAAAGATGTCGTTTCATCTAGTATATTAGCCGGTTCCCACCGAGGGTTAATCATATTTATTAGTTGCTGATGCCAGCGATCAAACCTGGTTGACAATCTTTAGTATTGCCCAAATTAATCATCTGAACGATTCATCCATCGCCGCTTAAAAAAAATTCAATCCCCCAGCTATGGGGAATGCTAAACGCCATATATACGTTCGGTTGCATGAAGTAATTAAACTGGCCGGCTATAATTCTGATGGAATTTGACATGAGCTGTGCTGCTTCGCTTAAATTGACCTTTCCTTGCATAAACGCAAATAACATTACGTCAACCCGCTCAAAAAATATGGAGATTTACAATAAACTCTCACAAAATACATGCTAGATAACAGTTAAATGGATACATTTCATGAAGTTAATTGTAAAAAATATATATAAAATGAGATACTAAAATACAACCCAAAAACTTTAGGGCCCACAGTAGTTGTTATGGGACCATTCATGAACAAAATATTTAGCTGATGATGATTTTTTTTTTCCTGTTTCCCCTTAAAGATTCTCCATTTTGAATTTAAGAAAATATTGGTTTGGCCCCTGAAATCGTCTTCCCTGACATTAAGTGGTTTTTATATAACATTTTCTGTTGTTGGCTGTGATGCACTTGGGGAAACCTGTGAGTAAATACCAAAATTAGTGCTGTTATTTCTTTTAGTTGATATTTCATCGAATTTTTCACAAGACAACTCCACGAAAGCTATCAGTTTGAGTTCCAGAAGTTGCATTGACAGTCTTTTATTTATTGCTATATTTATTTTATTCAGTGTAATCGTTTACAAGGGTAGTCCATTTCATAAAAAAACAAAACCAAGTGTTTTCCAAAAGGGGCCCTCTCATAAAAAATTACACAAAAATAAAAACATTAAGTCGCATTGAACAGCTTTAGAAGTTGAACCGATTTAACATAATAACTGAGCATGGATCAGAATCTTTTCAGGAATCAATAGAAATATGTTGTAAAAGGATGTTTGGTTTGAAAATCCCAGTGTAAGATGAACCCGGACACTGGGTTCCAACCCTTGTCAGCATTATGCTACGGTCACAAACCACGCAGTGAGATATCCGACTATCAAACGCTCATCATAGCATCCTATCATCTATAACCTGATTAACATGGGGCCAGCGCTGCTGCAGCACCCTCAGCCCAGAGGGAGTAACCCCACAGACTGGATCGGCCGCATAGTCAAGGGGAACAACTGAGGACAGATGGTAGAATTATAATGCCTTCATATACATTGGCTGGGAGATTGTCAGCGGCCAAACCGCACAGTACTATGCACACTCAGTCTGTACATGTACAATGCAGTGGGTACAGTATTAAACCAAAGAAATATAAAACACACACTGCATCACTTTACCCACCGGCACGGGTAGCCCATTTCCAGCAATAATAATAATTAAGAAAAAACGAAGAAGCGTTTCTTTCTCCACCGGCCACGGATGCATGGATCTAGTCAATTAGCGGTGCTCTTTGCTTGTTGAAAACAAGTCCAAAATGGATGGAAATAATCATGGTAATCGTGGGACACGACTCAGACGCTCCTTTCGGAGGATACTGGGCAAGAAAGGTATGACATCTTCCCTTGGTTTTTCAGGTCTTTACTGGTGATGTTTTCAGTTCTGTTTTTGTGAGCAGCTCTCTTTCATTTACAACATGGAGGACTTGGTTTTGGATTTTTTTTTTTAATGCCTTTCTTTTCGACAGCTATCATTCTAGCCACTTGTAGGTGTGAACGTTTATCTACTGAGTGCAGTAATGCACAGCATATTGTAGTGTTTATAAATGGTGGGAGTTCTATTGTCATATTAATGCAATCTGCGGCGTGTAATTTAATCATGGAAATTGTTGCACATCTAGGGTGAAATCGCTAAATGGTTGATGTACATGTAGTCTTCATTCTTGTTTTTCATGAAAACTATACCCTGTTGGATGAATTTTGTTAATTTTATAGTCATGGTCCGAGGGTTAGAGTTGCAAATACCCAAACTCAAGAACAACAATTAACTGCTATTTTGTAAAAATGTTAAGTAGATGCCTTTCGTGGTTTTGGGCAAATTTTGCTATTCTGTGTTTCATGTACGTGTATTTTGCAACCTCTCTTGAAAAGTGTAAAATATTTGCCGCAAAAATCTGGCTTAATTTAAGTGACAAATAATTTTCTCTCAAATTTTATAATGGTATAACCAGCAGAGCGATATAAGTCCTTCAATTTAGAGAATTCTTGCTTTTTATAATTTATGCTGATAAAATATTGGCACAATGATGTACTTTTGAGTACTTCAAATTTCCTACAAAAAATGCCTGCAACCCACTAACACACCTGACTGTATTTTGTATTAAATATATTTTAACATTGCAGACTTTCAGTACACACAGCATGTACATGTACCTGTCCCTGATTTTATGTGATCATAAAAAAAAATGAAATTGAAAAAAAAAAAAAAAAAAAAAAAAAATATATATATATATATTTGAATACTTGTAATGTCAGGCCCACGTCTGTAGATCCTTAAATAGATGGGAGCTATCTGTCAACAAATTGAGCCTAAATGCCACTCCGAGAAAAAGTAAATAGGTTAAAAGGCTAAATGCTTGATTAAAGGTGTAATCTCGCCGTGATTGTTTCTCCTGATGGGGGATCAATAGATTCTTTGGCGCTTCGATAAGAAAAGAAAAAAGTCGTGTGTGTTGGGGGGGGGTGTCATTGGTCATGTTTAGGCAAAATAGCTTGACATTCTTGAAATGCTAAGTTAAAACAAACACCTACAATATAGATAAGCAAGAGTTTAAGTTAAGGCCTGGTGTTTTGAAAACAAATAGAAATACAATATCAGTTTAATTTTCCAATAAATTATTGGAAATATGTTCAGTGCCCAATTTTCTGGTACTTTCAAACAGAAAAAAACCTCTGATACAACCTAAACAAAATATATTCTAATGTTTGATATGATTATTTTTTTTTGGGGGGGGGAGGGTAAATATAAACACAAATCAAATAAATCAACAAATCATACAATTTTAAGATGAGGCCTGGTTAAAAAAAGAAGATCTTTTGAAGGACAACATCGCTTTCATTTGTTTGTCCACAGAATCGTCTTCTTAAGATTTTATAGAAAATATTGCTTGCCAAATTTGGATGCTCAGCAAACTTCAGCCGGGTACCAAGTCAAAAGCAATATACAGGAATTATTTTTTTTTTTTTTAAATGTTTTTGCTGGGCATGAAATGCTAAGTACTGCTTTTTTATGTCAGTGAAAAGATATATAACATGGCACAGTGCATAGGTGCCCTGTTTGTTTATTTTGAATTCCAGAGTTTGTATAAATATACACTTTTATGGTACTGGGTTTCCATGTCGTTTACATAAGTCAACACTTGGGACTGGGAGGGCCATGTTCAAACCATGATAGCTCCATGATCAAACAGACTAGATTATACAAAAACAATTTAATGGACTGATTTATTTTTTTTCTCTGATATATTAATTCATGTCCTTGAAAATATGATAAATGTGGTCTTGGTTTATAAAGTTCAAATGCTTGTAATGATGTATGTTGCCTCAGGGTTTGGTGCAGCTGGACAGCCAGGCGCAGCCTGAACAGACCAATTAGTTTTTTTGGAGTTTTTAGGCCAGAAATGTCAGTTAAGTTATTGTGTTCTGGATTAGCTCATAGAACTTGAGACCAGACATTTTCAATGCTCACAGTAATTCTTGGAAAAGTTGTGTACTTTCTTTTAATAAAGGGATATTGGGGACTCTTTGGAAAGTATTTTTTTTATTATGAAGTATGTGACAGAAAGAATTAGACTTCAGAGTCTAATTACGATTGCATTGGCAAACAAAATGTTTACAATAAGGTGTACAATAGATTTAGTCACTCTGGGATTAAATGCATGTCAGTCTTAAATTTTTATCTTGGTGAAAGATTGACCCTATTACTTAAACTAATGACACCTATACAAATTTATCCTTTTGTCAGTTGTGTTTTTTACTTTCAAAGTGGGATTTGTCAACAATTTTTCTAGACTCATGGATTAGAAAGAAAAGCCTTAATGGGGAGTTTTCATCATTGATGTTTTTTCTTATTAAATAATGAAGGAATTAGATGGGGATTTTTTCAGAAATATCTTTTTTTTTTAATTATAAAAAAATGAAAATGTACCTTAGAAAGACCCTGTATTACTCAGGCAAATATTTTTTACGTTATTTATTTGTTATTTTCCACAAAATCTCACGCATGTACTTTTATTAAATATATGAACAGTTAATTCAAGCCTGAATTTAGTCTGCTGCATGGGCTTATCTTTTATCAGAATACAAACAAAGCAAGCTCTGAGCCACATGTCAATAATGAACAGTATTATACAAACATTTTTATTGATTTCACTTTAGCAGAATCAGAGACACTTTTATATTTTTTTGTATAATTTGGTCTTAACTTTTATTCCCATACATATTTTATTCCAGAATATCCACTATTTTTCCTATTTCTAAGACTTGTGTTGTGACTGAGCATTCATATGCAAAGAATAAGGCCCAGTTGGTTTCTGCATTTCAATAGTTTATTTTTTGGCTTGATTTATTTTTGTTCATGAGATATTTCTTGGATGATGTCAACATGTATATTAGTCGACTGATGGCAGCTTCCGAGAATCCGAAAAGCCTAGACAAGAGTGTGTACAATTTGATGGAAACCATGCACTTGGTGGCAAGGTTTTATAAACATCATTATTGCCATCCTTTTAATTCAGTCTGTGATGATGGCAGACATTTAAGACAAGATTTCAGTCAGTCTGCGTGGGGGCGTTTATTTACAGGGTGGGGGGGGGGGGTCACATTTTATATGGGATGTCTGTGTCTGTTAATTTCTATTCTGTTTTATGTTAATAACCGAGCCCATCACAGGATGTCTTCATCTCCTTTAATTTTAAGAGCTGTGGCTCATGAGAGATAAAGTTTATATCAAAAGTTGAAGTCAGTTCCAGAGATGTTATTTTTGTATAATTACCATGAACATGAACCACATGTCCGCTAACAACAATCTATCTGCAGTGGGACAGAATATCGTTGTTGGGAATGGTTGGGACTTTGGAGGTTTGGAAGGGTTTGGAAAGTGATTATTGCTTGTAGTAAAAGGGGAAACATTTGTTGAAAAGGAGCAAGCAAATCTGGAAGAATGTTTTTCAAAGCTTCACTTAATTCCAGATTTTATTCACGCAAGGTTGACATCTGCAAAAAAAAAGGGAACAGATGCCAGATTCTACAGTCTTTTCTCTGAATTGCTTTGCAAAAAATCTATGTAAATTGTTAACCAGAATAACAAAATCATCAGCGCGTAGTGTCTGGGGTGATATGGAGGCACTGTGCAAAGATCGAGCCAATAGACAAACACTAGCGTGGCAGTGCTGGCTGGCGAGGGCTATTTTTAGCATACAAGGCACGTCCATTTTACGTACGACCTACGTCATTTGTTAGACTAGCTACCCTCTTCGGACCGTGCAGTGAAGAGGAAAGGGGGGGGGGGGGTTGCATCTCTATCAAGCGACAAGTTGTTGATAGCTCATCCAATTTGCAAAATCTAAGGCAGTATCATTTAGGAATCACTCCTCGCACTTATTATTAACAGATTTTTTGTATTCTCTCCTTGTTTTGATAAAACGAATTGTGAGCGTGAGGTTTTCAGTTTCAGGCACTTGTGACTAACACTACAGTTGAAATATCTTGATACTTAATTGACATGTCTGAGCGGCATGATTTATCGCAGCCTTTGTTTTCTTGCTATAGTACCCATGTGATATAACAGTGAGAAAAGATCATGGTTCTGAAATGATCGCATATCAGTTATTGTCTGTCAGTGGGTCAGATTTTCTGTTATAACTTTTCTGGCTTTCAGGTTAAGCATTAGAATTGGAGTAGGCTGCATATTATTTTCGGAATAATTTCTCTATGAAAAATAAAAAGAATCGGGAAATGAACAATATTTTAAATTTGAAGAATTCAAATAATAAGTTTATAGCTGTTACCTAGTGCATCCATTTAACAAGAAATCCACAAATAATGAACCCTGTGTATATTATAAAGAGTTACTTTAATAAGAAGAACATTTCCAGACATCAGTAAATCCTACTGCTTTACAGCATTGAAGATTGTCTGTTGAAAGTGTAACATGTTTATTTTGCTTCTTAAGATGTGGGAAGAAACATCTGAAATAAATCAACCATTTTTTTGCTACCAATCAGTTACCGTTGCCTCCCAAAATAAAGTGCTTAAAAAATTACTTCAATTTACCATCCAGAAATTATTTAAATTGAGGCTCAAAGCAGCACCTTTTCTTGTCATTACTTCTCTGGAAAGATTTTTTTCAGATTTTGTTCTTAGCTTGCTATAAATAAAAAAAGGATAAAAGATTTGAATAATTGCATGGTGCAGTCAGTAAATAGTAACATTGTTTGAATCTTAATTTTGTAGTATGGTATAGTTGTAAACAAAACCTGTGAAGGTAATTATACAATATTTGCAAACATCAAAAAAACAGAACTACCAAATAATATGTACGTTACATGTAC